ATGCGACAGCCAGGTCTAGAACTGGATAATTCTGGGCCAGTGACTTTTGGGCCATTTAAGTGTCCCGTGTAGCCGACACGCTCAGTGTCGGCCCCAGGAAGGTCTCCCTGTGCCGCTGCGGCTGCCCCGGAGCCGCGTGGCCGGCGCCGCGCTGCACGTGACGGGCTTTGTGCTGTCCTGCCCCTCTCCTCCATGTCGTACCTTCCCTGTAGGCCTCATTATAGCAGGTTCAGGTCCCCCTTTTCCATGTGCTCGCCTCGATCGATGGCTTTCTGGAAAGGACAGCGAAAAAATTGCTGCTGCAAAAATGGCTGTCGGTGCTAGGGAAGCTTGGATTAGGATAGATATGCCCGGCTTGCTCCTCACAATCCTGGTTTCCCAGGTCTTAGCAAAGGGCTTGTTTCACTGCAGCACTTAATTATGTGGGTAGATGCCAACTTATCTGCAAGGTTTTTCTTGTTTTGAGCCTTTTGATTAGAAAATAAATTAAATATTAGAAATTGTCTTTTGCATGAATACTTTGACTTTTTTATTTTCTGGGGCCAGAGTCCTGCTGTAAAACTGCTTCAGCTGGTGAAGCTGCTGTTGTCAGTGGTGAGTCCATGGCTCAGCGTCAGTTCACAAATCAACACTATCATCTGCAAAATCTGCCCCTGGCCTGCAGCCACCCTCAAGGACATCACAGCACTGCAGATCAAGTCTAGCTTTCCTGAGAGCAACCTCCTTCTACACAGGCTCTGAGGAAGAGTGTGGTGGAGAGGATCAGGGCCTGGGCACCGGGAAGCGTGAGACGGGCCTAAAGAGCGCTCCAGGTTCCTGCAGCCTCAGGCAGCTCGTCCTTTGGCACCACGTGAAGGTGCTGCTGAAGGGCGAGCAGGGCTGCTGTGTCTGTGCCGACAGCACAAGGGAGGCACCAGGGGAACGTGCAGCCCTTCATCCCTGCCCGAGGACACATCACCGGCCGTGCACACCGCTGCTACTGCCGGGCATGAAGGTGACAAGACAGGGTCTCGCTCAGGTCCTTTGCTGCCCCACGCTCTGTACGCGCTGTGGGCAAAGCCCTGATGGTCTGACAGTCCTGGGGTGAGCATTGCAGAGGTATTTATCTGGATGCATCTTAGCTGAAGTGATGCAATTTCGTGTGTATGGGGGAGGACACTGTCCTGCCTGTCACCCATGACATCCTTTCGCTTGTGTCCCAATTGGCAAAATCGCTGCTCTATACCAAATGTAAACCCCTGTCTCAAGTCAGGTATAGAAATACTTCCTCCGGACAGAAGATAGGCGCAGAGCTGGAAGGACACCTTAGAAGATTTTTTTTTAATGGTTTGATTCATTTTGGCTGCCTTTACTGCCTGTAATCTGCAAAGGATGGAACTGAACATCTGCCAAACTGGCATCTGGATTAACCCTGAACTTCAGCAGAGCCCCAGCTGGAGGGTTATGGGGTTGCCAGCCTGAACCCACAGTGAACTTTCCTCTCCAGTCCTGCCCTCAGCAACAGACGCTGGGTGTTTTCCTAGGGAGCGGGATGTTCATCCGAGCAGCCTGGTGGTAGGATATACCTCTTGCATGAAGGCCATTCAGAGAGCTCTGTCCCCGGGCTGCGGTGTGTGAAGCCCTGGAAGAATGCAAGCTGTTCTTACACATGATACCCACTCTTCACTGATGCAAGGTGATTTATTTCTTTAATATATACTCACTAATCAAAGATGTTACGTTAGAAGGAAGAAGGGGCCAGAGAAAATAGAAAAAAGAAGTGACCTCGTTTAGTATATTATTCTTGGTCTCAGAATTCCATAGCATCTCTTTAGATGTTGTATTCCTAGAGATAGGGTGTCAACATTACCACTGGCTTTATGTCCCATGTATTGTTTCTTTAAATTTATAGCTGTAGCCAGTAGCTTCCTGTGAAATGCAGCTGTTAGCTATTTTGCTTATCTTGTGGAGTCTTACAGGATCTTTCTACTTGGAAAGAAAAGTCAAGTTCAGTGCAGGAAAAATCACTGTGAAAGAAGATAACTTCTGCTATGAAGGCAGAAAATGCTAGCAAACTGGGACGCTGGAACTTACTGTCATTTTGAAAATGGGTAGTTATGTATGTAGCTAACTCTTGTCTTTACTATGTCTGGCTGCTATCCCTTAAAAATAAAAATTGAAATGGATAAGTTTTTTCCTTGATTGTTTTATGATCACGCATTCAAGAGCCACCAAATCTTGTCCCAGAAAATTGCTATTCCTCTCTTTTAGAATATACAGACCTATGGGGGAAAATAGCCTGTAATGGTCACTGTTGACCCACTTTGGACTTTGTCAGGCAGCATCAATTTGGAAAATGAAAAGTACATTCCAGCTACATTGAGCACGCCTTTCTAAATGCCCATTCTGGAGAGTCAAGATAAGGTTACACTAAAGGGTTTGCTCCACAAACACTGATAATATTTATTCCCTCTCCCTCTGCCATCTGGTAGGGACATGCAGAGTTCAAAGAAGAACTCTGAAATCTCCAAAAGGCTGTTTTGAAAAGAGTTTTATAGAAAATCTTAAACATTAAATGAAGGTTATAAATTAAGAAAAAAATGCTGCACAAATATCACTTTAAAGAAAAATGCATGTAATTAATTATTTAAACATATCAAGATAATACTGAAAATACATAAGGCCTAAGATATAGCTGTGTCAAGAGACACTAACAAGTACCCAGCTGTTGGATGAAGTCCTGTGTAAGCTTGAGATTATACTTTACAAAGAATCAGAACCTGAACAAATCTAGGATTGGTGTCAGGTGATCTTTGTCCTGGGCAAAGCCATTCTTT